ATATTATTCTAATCATAGAGTACCTATTACGCACCACCCACACTTGAACCACATTTAATGTAGCCATGTAGGATACTAAGTAGGACATGTATATAATATATACAAGGTAACGAGTAAGAAATTTTAATAATTTTATGAATTAAATAGTATATTAAATTCCATTCATAACTTACAAAAAAGTTATGTCTGATATTTGTTTTTAAATAAGTGATAAAGTGAATCATGGTAAATTTACGACGGAGTAGAAAATATTGATATGATTGTGTATATTACACTATATATATATAATATATTTATTACGCATTGCGCATATTTTGTTTTTTGATTTATAGTTTCAAGGTAGGTGGGTAGGTAGGTACCTAGCTTATGGAATTTTATCTTGAGATTACTGAGAACTGTTTGGGTAGTAAACTTAAATTTTTATATCTTTTATAAATGTGTATTTGTATAGTTAAATGTTAGTTTTAGCTTATTGGTGTTTTTATATATTTATCACTTTTTTATTTAATATTACATAATAACCAATGCTTATGCAACACTTTTATGAATAGCCTACGTTCATTCATAATCTGTCATTTATTGAAAAATGTTACTTGCTATAATTTAAAAAATCAATTGAGATAAATTATTTTTTTACAATATTGTAAAAATATTTATTATTAGATTACTGATAATTTATTATTGCATGCTAGATATTTTATTGTAAAAACAAATAGTATATGTTATATGTTTACAAAATAATGTCTAATATACAAATTATAAAAATGGCAATTATGCTATATGACTCCTAACGTCTATGAGTCCAACCTATAATTATTATATTATATTATATTAGGTTTTTTATTATGGTAGGTACCTATAATTATATTGAACAGGTCACCCTCTGCAGCCTCATCACATAATATTGGTGCAAACACTGGAGCATTGTTTTATTATTTAATAGTTACTTATGTACTGGTTTCAAATTTGATTTACTGATAATTTTTAGTGAATTACAACTGAAAATATATGTCACAACAGAGAAAAGAGTTCAAAATGAAAAATTATTTTTGAGTATGATGAAAAAGTTCTAAAAGTAATATTAAAAACCAACATCTACATAAGCTCCTACGAGACTCAGATATGTGGTTACTTTTATGTTTGCATAGTTGCATAGTTGCATTTTCACAATATTAAACTATAAAAATATTAATGAAATCAAAACATAAGTAGACCCACACACTTGACTAACCATTAAATAAAAGCTACGATCGCATAAAATGATCTTATCAAACAAACATATCAATAGAAAAAGTTGATATTTAATTCAAAACATTGATTTAAATAATATGGTAGAAATTAATAATTATGATGTAAGTAAAACACCAATAGATAGGTACCTCATAACTCGTAAGTCAACAGTAGGTGTCTTCTCGCTTCTATCAAGATCGTGAACATCTGTCGTAGACCGTAGTCCGAGAGAAAATTAAAATTTTATGAACGGTTTAAATGGGGAAGGTGGAGAAACATTTTAAATACATTTCTTATATATACATAGAAAATGCCGTAATACTGTAATAGATTAATGACTGAAGATGTCTAAATAACTCAATAGACACAAGAAACCAAATTTCTTCAAAAATATGATTTTAAACTAAAAAATAAAAAAAATATAAGGAAACCACAAATTCAAAAAATGTGTTTTTTATACTCATATTAAAATGAACACAATAATAATAAAAATGGTATAGATACTAAACTGTTTATAACTTTAAACTCATCCGAAGATAAAAATCAAACAGAATAGATTTAGTAATTTAGATTATTTTAACGAACATTTCGAAAGTATAGCAAACATTAACAACTTAAAAAAAAACATAGAAAAATTAGAATTTGATATTAACCCACAATTAATCCAAATTCAACAACTGAAATTAAAACAATTAATATTAAATAGGTATACTAGATTGTATTGCCAAACTTTAAATGGATTTGGATGATTGATGTATATGTGATATATAATATAGGTACATAAACCAATAAAATTTCATAGGCACCTGTAAATTTATCATTAAATATACGTAAGACGCTCATAAAAAACTAATCTAACTTTCGGGGAAATATTTTTTTTTATAACAGGTAGAAAAACTTATTATATCTGAAGTTTAAATAAAATCTCAGTGTTTAAAAATTAGATTCAAGTTTTTATTTTAAAAAACTGTTTTAAAGGAGTTTAATATAGGCAATCACATAAAAAAAGGTATCTGCGTGTCATTTGAGTATGATGACACTCCTTACTACTGTTGCAATCGTACTCGCACGAAAAATATGTCAAGTAATAAATAAATAATAATATACAGTATTACAGTCATTCACTACACGTTTTTTATCAATAAAATTCATAACGTTTACATTAGAATATACTTCACACATTTTGAATAAATATTTGTTTATTCGCATATGAAATGGAATATAAATAAATTATTATATATTTATATATCATAATGCTGTGAACTCTCATATTTAAATTTGAATAGTTGAAGACTTAGACGTAGAAATTTAGAATGTTTTTTCAGTGGTCGAAGTAACTTAAAACGAGAGGAGTCGAAACTTGTGAAAATGTATACCAAAAAATTGCTTTTTAAGTATAGATATTATGTATGTATGATGTATCTATATCAGTGGAGTGCTCAGTTTTTTGTAATGGGGGGAGGATAATATGCATTTTTGACGATTATCAGACCATGTTAAATAGCGATAAATGTATATTAATATTACTTTATCATATTATATTTTATATGACAAAAAAGTCAAAGGTGGGGATACGAGATATTACACCCTCATTCCTCCCCTCGTGAGCACTCCCATGATATAATATATGAGTTTCAAGTGCCATGTGCGTGTGTGAATTGTTTTATGACAATAATTGAGAGATAAAAATAAATATTAAACAATCAGTATAATACCCATGCAGTAACTACTGTATATTATTGATTGATTATGAATAATATAATACTTGGTTTTAATTTGGTTTGGTTTTCAAATTTAATTCGTTAAACAGAAAATTTTGTTAAATTAGTTATTGACCACAGTACCTAATATTGAAAGTTTTACTATAGTCTGTAGGTAGGTATAATTATATATCTTTAATCTTTATATATATAATTCTACTGTACGTGTGTATGTCACTGAACTCCTCCTAAACGGCTGGACCGATTTGAATGAAATTTGTTGTGTGTGCTTGAGTGGGTCCTTGAATGGCTTAGATTCACAATTGGACCCATTAAGCGCAACACGGGGAGGTGCTCAAACAGGGATTTTGAGATTTACGATGGAAATTGTTGTTTATAAATGGTTGCTATTGGTTATAAGATAAATAATTAGTAGAAATTACTTATTATTATTTATTTATTGTTGGTGGCCATAAGTTATTCGGACAGATCAGGTACAAGAATGCATCAAATCGAATTTTCGCACATTGTCTACCAAGATGGTTGAGTTGCACTTATAACAGGTGGATTGCCTACTTGATATGTTGTCGCAAATTGTCCGCGATCCGAATAATAATAATAAAAATTATATTTTTTTGTAATCAATAGCAACCATTTAAATAAACAAAAAACAAAATAAAATAAATGTATTATAATTACATAATCACGCATTTTCTACGTACTTAGTTTTATTGTGCCACGACCAAGGCGATCAAATACTTCACGACAAAGCCGTACCTAATGCAACTAGAATTTGAAATATTGCTAATGAAAGGACTATAAATGAATGTTTGTGGGTAGATTAGACCTCTGATAAGAAGATAGGCTAATTTAAAAAGGGTTCAATTTGGTTTTTTTTTATTCATCTGATTTTAGTACGGTTAGGTTAGGTTAGGATTTTGTATTAATTGATTATATTAATCCACCCCATAGGTGGAATACGACAAACTTGGTATAATTTTGATACTTTAGAGTTAAATCATACATTTAAACACTACAAACAGCACGGGGTCCTCGCTCTACCACAGGTAAATTGCTTACCTGATATCTAATATATACTGCTGCAAATAAGAATTTTTATTCTGGGCGACAGAAAAGTTTAGATAAATCTGGAACATCATACACCAAATATTAAATGAGGCATTGAACAAAGGTTGAGTCATATGCAATTTGTACATTTTTAACGAGTAACGAAGTGCACGTAATCAGCTAGTATAATATATTATATATATAGTTATTATTAAGTATCTTAATATTTCGAAATTGGTCGACGGCAGTCGTGATATTCTGTCTACAGAGAAACGTTTACGAATGAAGTAATAGTTACCTACCACAGAAGCTTCTGACTTACTCTAAACGTGGTAATGCTCGCCGCTCGGAACTCGGTTTAATTTTGTGTTCTAACTTCCAGTTCAATGCGAGCATCCGGCGACCCGCGGCATTTTGTTCATCATACTTATCAGTTATCGCGGGTTCGCGTTGATAACACCTCCCGCACGTGATAACATTTGTGACGGTTGTCGTTGTTTACAATATTTGTTGATAATAATCCATTCACGTGATAGCTGATCAAGTCAACCGTTGGCCACGACTGACGTGAGTAAGTTCAATGTTATTATTATTATTTCTCGTTGCTGACTGCTGAGTGCTTGAGTGCTTTTATTGAAACTTTGAAAGACTGAACTCCCAAAGTCCCGAGTGCTAATTGCCAATTGCCATGCGCCACGATAACGCACCGTAAGTTGTAACATTACTTATCGTATCATAATATAATAGTATACAATTGCTTTTATTTTCTAGCCGTTTCCGTGTCTGTGGTATCTTTGATGATAATCAATAAAACAGTTTTATAGTAACAACAATAGTTTCGACAGTCGTGGTACTTCAGAATTGTGTTCGTGGCATGGCACCACGTCCCGTGTGTGTAAAACCAACTGTACTCTGCAATAAATAATAGTCACTATCAACTCTGTCTTGCGCTGTTTGTTGTCGTCGTCTTTTTATTACAGAACCTAGTAGGTACGAACGATCATGCTTAAAGCCGTAATATTGATCGGCGGACCGTCTAAAGGTATGTTATAACATTTTTATCGTGTTCTTGTTATTATATCTTATGAATTTTTACAGGCACTCGATTCCGTCCCCTTTCGCTGGATGTACCCAAACCACTTTTTCCCGTGGCTGGCCTACCTGTTGTTCAGCACCACATAGATGCGTGTTATCGTCTGGGTCAACAACGCAATTCTAATCCACAAGATGATAGTAAGAGCAATGTCAGAAAATATTGTGTAGCAGAGGTGCTTTTATTGGGATATTACGCAGATGATGAACTGGCAGACTTCTTACTTACTGCCACTCAGAGTTATCCATCACTGAGAATCAGGTATGGTTTTGCCAACTAATACCTAATTATATAAGAAGCATAATATTTCATTTTATATATTTTTCTCATTTTGTATTAATCCTCAAACAATTGTGATGTGTATAGGTACCTACGCGAACCTGGTGCTTTGGGTACAGCTGGTGGCCTATATCATTTTCGTGATACGATTCTTGCTCCGTTAGGCAATAGTGATGGCAGTGAAGGTGAACAAGTGCAGGCATTTTTTGTAATGAATGGTGATGTTTGTGCTGATTTTCCATTAGATGAGATGCTTGATATGCACTTCAGTAATAATAGTCTTCAGTCACAGCATCAACAAAAACAACCAGTGCTAATTACTGTTATGGCTACTGAAACCACTCGTCAACAATCTGTTCACTATGGTATGCTATATAATAATATAAAATATAATATAATATTATTAATATGTAATAGGTTAGTTTAATGACTAAAATCTTTTATTTTTATTAATATTTTAATTTATTATTTAGGATGCATGGTTGTAGACAAAGAAACAAATATCATACAACATTATGTTGAGAAGCCATCTACATTTGTTTCAAATACAGTGAACTGTGGTGTTTATTTGTGTTCTCCACGGTTATTTGATACTATAGCAGAAATTCATTTAGAAATGTCCAACAGTAATGGAAATGGTACTCAACAACATACCACCAGGTATACTAGGTAATAAGTGAACACAGTATGAATTTAAAATAGAAGTTTTCAAGTTCCTTAATTTACAAATAAATTTTACTTTGTTTATAGCAGTAATAAAAATAATATTAACCAACAGCAGCAACAAAAGCCGACTGAAGAACGAGTTGCTGCTGCCATGGTCATGTGGATGGAGCAAGATGTGCTACGTAGACTAGCAGGAGAATCTGGAAGTGGTTGCAGTAGTGGTGGTGATGGTGGTAGCAGAATAAAGAAGGATGCTGTATGTAGTGGAGTGGCATTGGCAGCAACCACACGTAACTGGTGGTCCCAATTAAAGACTGCTGGTGCAGCAATCTATGCAAATCGTCACTACTTAGCGTTGCGCCAACAACGGCAACGGTTACTTCAACGAGAATCAATTGATTTACCATTGCCTTCACCAGTAAAATGTCGATTAGCAACTTCAGATCCTAAAGGTGGATATTCAACAATTGGAAATGTGTATGTGCATCCGTCAGCTCAAGTGCACCCAACTGCATTAGTTAGTTACCCTTTATTTCATATTTCATATTCATTTTTAATTAAAATGTTTAATATTTTTACAATGACTCACAAAATATTTGTAATTGTAGTATTTGTTAATTGTTTTTAAATTGTAGTATTTATATTATGATTAAATTGTTTTTGTTATTAATAGCTAGGTCCAAATGTAAGTGTAGGGGAAGGAGCATGTATTGACCAAGGTGTACGTATTAAGGAGTCTATTGTGCTACAAGATGCTGTCATTGGTCAACATAGTCTGGTAATAAACCCTATTAAATGACTACTATTTTAAATTACTACTAATTAAAAAAAATAATTTAATAGGATATGAAAATTAGTTTAAAACCAAAATGTTGCTATTAATTGTACAGTATAATATTGTGTATAGGACCTACCTAATGTAGTTAGTTAATTAGTTTATACTCTGTCTTAAAAAAGAACAATCACTTTTTGAGCATTGTGATTGATGCGATTGGCGCATCTAGAACCACGTGATCATGCTAACACTGGGTCATTGGTGGCAAATATGCAGCACTGACAAAAGTCGGTCAGCTGACTGATTATTCTCTTTTGAGACAGAGTACTGACTGAATATTTTCTTTGAACATATATAGTTATTTTTTTCATATACAGTCATCAACCAATAATTCAAAAAACTCCATAAATCAAACTAAACGCTTGGTCCCCTGATTAGAATTTAGAAATTCATGAATTAGAAAATAATACATGTATTTTGATCCCTCGATAATTTGAAATGTCTGTCGGTGGTTGTTCGACTTAAGTTGTATAATTTTACCTCTGCAATAGGTAAATAGTTGTTGAAATTGAATAAAACATAGTCAGTCTGAATATGAGTTCCATAAAGTACAAGTGTTCGTCGCTCACCGATAAAAAGAAAGTGATTGCGGCATCTGAAGCTGATGAAAAAATCTTACTATATTGACTTATTTACTTTAATAACATATTATTAAATGTCAAAATAAATGTACCTATGATAAATTAAATAATAAATAATAAATACTATGTATGTATGTAATAACATTTTCATTACTCAGTAAATTGAAAACCTCTATAAATCTATTTTTTAGCTCGGTCCCCTGAATTTTGAATTATCGTGTGACGACTGTATTGTAATTAATAATATTGAGTGTATAAAAATTCATAATTTTTTTTCCTTATGTAACCCAGTTATAATTTTGTATAAAATGTAATATTTCTTTTGTAAGAATTTACATTAAATCAGTTTATGTATAGAACTAAAATAGAATCAATGTACTAAAGGTAAATAAAATATCCTTCAGTTTAATTTAGTGATTGTGTTAATTATCAATGTTTAGAAAATATTTATATGATGGCGTTAAAACGGTTTAAAATCCATGGATACTCTCTGCATATAGATAGTTTGACTTATTTTATTTACCATTAAAAATACAAACACCCATGGATATAAAACCATTTTAACACTGTCATATGAACTTATTAATTTATTGTTCAATTGATTTGTATATAATTATAAAAATGTATTTTAGTTAGAAATGCCCTAGTAGGACATCATTCTTATAATATTTTATGAATTAATGTACTTAGGTGATGCACAGTATTATTGGTAGACGTGCTAAAGTTGGTGCTTGGTGCCGTGTAGAAGGTAGTGCAGCGTGCTCGGACCCTAATCCTAATGTGGCATATGCCAAAATGACACCTCAGCTGCCCTTATTTAACGCCTTAGATGGTCGCCTCAATCCATCCATAACTATACTTGGTTGGTTTTATTTGCTAACATATTTTTTACTTGTATAACAATGATTGCATTACTAAAAACTTACTGTCATAATTTAGGTTGTGGAGTCAACGTCGAATCTGAGGTGGTATTATTGAACAGCATTGTGTTGCCTTACAAGACGTTAACCAGAAGTTATAAAAACGAAATAATATTGTGATCCTTGCATAGTTGAATTTTGTGTTTGGTAGAATTAGCAAACCATTATTGATAAATAAATTATGATGTACATTTATTATTATTTTAAATATGAATATTAATTATGTGGATATACTTATATGTTATATCCTTATTAATTCTTTATTGTTAACTGTTATGTTAGTGTATTTTGCGCATTACTATTTCATAAACATTTTATACTGAATTATAATTATAATTATATTTATATTTTTCCTTTTTATAATCATTTTTTCTTTATTTGCCCAAATAGTCAAAACTTCAAGATATTAAAACTTAATATTGATTAGTTTTTTTTTGTAAAAATTGTATATCATCTTAGCTCAAACAATAATTACAATGCTTTTAAATATTTATTTAAATAATACCTCTCAGAATATTTTTTATAAATATTAACTGTTATAATTACCTATAGGGTGTATTATATTTAATTGTAGTATTAAAGTCATACATTTTTAATACACTTATTTATAATAGAATTATTATCTAATATTTATACATCCAAGTAGGGTTGACATTTATTTTTTTGAAATATTTCATATTAATGAAAGATAAAAAAAAACCATTTTTTATTTAAATCTATTGTACAAATGACAGGAAACACATCTACTTAGTTAAGAGTTAATGAAAAATATTATAGAAATATTTCTTACATTGTTGGTATATTATTCAAAATACATAGTTGTTATATACCTTATATAATATATTAGATAATATTTTCTTTATATAATTCATAGGCGTGCGCACAGGGTATGCAGGGTATGTCGCTGCATAGTCTGTGGCTTTATGTGAGGGGCCCATATATAATATACCAAAGCATTTTTGATAATATCTTCTATATTAAAAAAAAAAAAATAAAAATTTTAGTTTTCACTTTTCTCGCGACCCGCAAGATAATCTAAGCTATTAATACACTAGAGCGTAACACATAGATATTGTTATCTATGTTGTAAGAATAGAATAATTATTATTGTTTTTATAGTTTGTAATCAAAGACCACATTATAATTATAACTGAGTTCGGTACTATATCATAAGAACGTCTTGATTCACTGATGTTAATATTTATCGAGCAAAAAATGGCATCATAAATCAATATTGGAGAAGTAATAGATGAATTCAAAACATGTGTGCCGATAAAAAGAAGACTTGAACTTTAGAGTTTAGATTTTAAGTACTTTCCATGAATTAACAACATTATTAATATGTTAAAATTATTCAAAAACATTCATACTAGTATATACTTGATCAAATTTTCTTTAAATAAATATAATTCAAATTTCAAACTACTTATTTCTACAGCGCATTGTTTAATATTCTACTGTAAGACTATGTGTGATTTCAGATTCCGAGTAAAGCAAAAAAGCTAAGTAGTATATTTGCAAAAACTTAGATTGTAAATTGAATCCTATATGTGTTAAAAAAAATGTTTAACGGCTTAGAGTTGTTTTTTAGAATAAATTAAGGAAAGATTAGAATTTGTGAGGGGGCCCTGTTTTCCTTATTACATAACCTGCGAATAAAGTCTGTGCACGCCTATGGTATAATTATATCATGATCCGGAATTAAATATTGATAATCACTAATTAGGTATGAAATCATTATGGAGTTAGAAAAGTTCTAATCGTATGACCATCTAGTGATGATTTTATGAAATATACTTAAAAACAGTTGAAAAAAAAATATTTCAAGAAGAGTGAAAGTTTCAGGATGGAAATATTTCAATGTGAAAATTTCACTCATAACCCTATACCCAAGTAAACATATTGTCGAGGAAAACAGATCTCAAGGGGTGCACTAAATAATAAGTATTAAATTATAGAGGTTTTTAGTTAGATAGTTTGAGTCAGATATTTTAATATATTGGACCAATTAGAAATAGCCGAAACACTTAAAGGCAGGTTTCCACTATATAAGTATGCCGTAGTGTACACAAAAAATGTACAGCTAAGTTCAACAACACGGTATCATGGTTAATTGTGTGCTAACCAGGGACTGGAACCTTTCGAATTTATCGGTACTGGTTCTCCAAAAATAAAATAACTGTTCCGATTCAGTTCTGTTTTTTTTATAAAAAAAAAATAAAGGTATCGGTTCCTAATAATTTTGGTACCGGTTCCAGATAATTTAGGTACCAAAAAGTATAATAATTTTGAATACCTATCCGGAATGCAGGTTTCATTATTAGTATGAGAAATATTAGAAAACGCTCATATAATCATACATAGCTTATCCAGCGGGACGGTAGTGGCGCGAAGCTAAGTAAAAAAAAAAAAACGTAGTAGCCACTAACGTATAATAACAGGACACCGAGTTTTAACATTGAAAAATCGTCCTAATTTATGTCAATTCTTTGCCAAGCTCTACAGGGCAAACGGCTCAACGGCTGAACATATAAAGTCGTATGAGGTATCAATCGATCATAAATATTGTGGAGATGGGAACAGAGGAATTCGCTAGCAGATTGGTTAGATAGTTTATAAGTTATAAGCAAAAATGTTCAAGTACTTTTAAGACCGATTTTGCGTACGGAAGTACGGAACAGTGGTGATGGATAAGCGGTGGGTCGGGGAACGAAAATATCGTAAATGTCCCCCGACTCGCCGCTTATCAAATCCCACTACTCTCATCGCGGCGGCGGCGACGTACTACGACGACGATTGGCGATTGCGACGGCGCGGTCTCTCGGACGACGGACACCGATCTTGGCCCGGCAACCATTTACCATTATAGTCATTATACTAATATACTATTTCAGCTGACGAGTGACGACCAGCAAGAAAAGTATATAAATTAATAGTTACTTGCTGACGACTCAACGACTGTGATTGTTTAGTGAATTCGTGATCCAGCCCGACGGTATTATATTATTATGCTGAAAACTCGGAGCAATAATAAAATAAAATAAGCAATCTGGTGATTAATTCATTACCCGTGGCAACAAATTAAGGTCGGTGGCAAATCATATGTTCTTAATTCTGTGATTTGCCATCATGGTCCATCTATGTCTCAAGCCTATTATACATCAGTTATTAAATATAATAATAAAATATGGGTTAGATGTAACGATATCATATTTATATTATAGGTAGTTTAAGAAAAAAAAAACTAAAATAGAAAAAGAGATATTATAACAACAGGAGGCAAACGATTCATATGCTATTATGGATTATTATTATTATATACAGTCAAATAAAATCGCGACTTATTTCATAAAAAAAATAGCTGATATCACACCAAAAACACTTCGTTATAACTCCTTGTAAAAAAAAGATAAGTTAAAAAAAAAAAAATTTTGTAATGATTAAATCTTTAAAAGAAGTGATATGATATGGAAATTAAAGTAAAATTACATTTTATAATATTACAAATACCTATGATGACAAATAAGATCAATAAATTGTAATGTTAAATACTTAGTCAACATATTATGTTTAAATATTTGGCAGGACTTAGAAGTATACTTAAATAGATATAACTAAGTAATCATTACAGTATTTACAGTAATTAATAATGCATCAACAATATTGTTATTTTATTATATCCCCAAGTTTAATGTTAAAGTTACGATATTATCTTGTTAAATATTAATCCTCTTTATAAATAATTAATAATTAAATTTGATAATTCATGAAACAAAATAAAACAATTATTAATTATAAATAGTTTGTAATAATTAAAAATATATACAAAAAAATAAAAGTTGAAAATAAAACAATTAACTTAAGAATAAAGAGCAAAGTGTTAATTATTTCTGAATTGAATGATTTAAATAAAAACAAGCTAACCTAACTACACAAATATAAAATGTGACAAATCATAGACATTTTTAGATTTTAATAATAAATTGAAAACAGGTCATTACATTTTTTAATCCTGCAATTTTAAATTGTGTTCGATTTCTTTATTTTCTTCTAAAATTGTATATTTATGACCCAACAATCAGGATACATTATGATATTATAAGAAATTATAATAACATGTTTATTATTGGATATTTCTCCGCATATATAACAAACATCGTGAGTGGAACAGTGTGAGTTGCTAAGCCTCTCCAAAATAAATAATTATTGGAGCATTTGACAATTAATATTTGATGCTTTTTCTTTTAAAAAAAAAAATGTATTGCCTTTACCAATTGATAGAATATTTTGGGTGGCTACTAGTTGCGTCCCGCGGTAAAAATTTCTTCCGAATTGCAGCCAGAGTTTTGTTGGGGTTCATACGAATTGCGGCCCAAAATTTAAAATTAAATTAATTGAAATATGCAGATTAAAATTAAAAAAGCTTAATTTTCCTTCACATTTGTATACAGACTCAAGACTATCTGCAGCATCAGTAGATATTGCGGGTTGGTTAAAAATGATGTTTTGTTTTTATTTAAAGATTTTGCACTGGTAGAAACGTATATATTTTTTGAAGTTAAAAATCTTAAGTATAATTGAGTAAACTTCGTAGGTATTATGGCACTGGTAAGAACTTGTATGATAGTACTTGTATAAATTCAAGTGAGACGCAACTAGTATGCAGCCAATATTTTAAACATATATGGACCTGGTAATACACATAGATAATAGTTAATAACTGTATTTTGTAAATATTAATACTACATAAAATAGCTTACATGTATATACATTTCAAGGGCAGTAATTATAGAATGCTTATTGTGAATAAAAATAAATACATGACCCTTATCAATTATTCAGTTATTTGGTACAAACCATGGGTTGTTTAAGTATGCACATTGCACAATTAACTTTATAAATAATTTCATAAGCACACATTTATTTTAGTAAATAATTTAAATATAAATCTACATCATTTACATCACAGAATTTTAAAAAGAAAAACATCTTTTGTGGCACTCATGACTTGAAAGATATTCTTCTCCTCAGTATCCATCCAGACCGTTGTATAATTTATTGATCGAGTTTTCTCCCAATATTCTTTTGAGATCTATTAAATAAACATTTTAAATATTAAATGTAATAAACTATATTATATTATCTTGTTTGAAATTTGTTAAATTAGTATTTAAAACATTGATCACTATTATGTATTAATTTAAGCTGGTCGCAGAGAGAGTGGTCAAAATATTTAATACGTCCCATGGAAAAATGATAAACCTGAACCTTAGACTTAAAATCTAAAAAACTTGTGTTTCTAACAAGAATCAAACTTATTGAAAACCAGTATGACAGCACGGATAAATGGAAAATAGAGTAGCAGAACTCTAATATAGATTACTGCAGCCTAATTAAAAGCCTGGATAGCCCAATTTCTGGACTACATCTAACTCATTAAGAATGAGTAACACTTAGCTGGCTAAGCACATGATATGGTCACACCGGAGACAATCTACAGATGGAAAATGAGGAATCATGCAGATTGCAACTTCGGCCATCGTGACATCCCATATAATAGGGGACAATGGAAAAATTGCACGAAGTTTCCGACAACATAATAAAATGGATAAGTACACTCCACATCCAACTGGAATAGTTAATCTTAAGATTCAATATCATTTTGTGAATGTCGGAAATGTATCTAGTCTGTTATGCTTGCATATCATACCACAATGATAAAATGATGACGGATTTGATAATACAGCTGCTTTCTCTATACTCAGTTACACCGAATATATAATATAAAATGTAAAATGAGTAAATATAAATTTTAAGTTGGAATTTCAAGTCTGCATTTAGAATCTAATGTTGTCATTAAAAAGTTAATGATTTAATTTAAATTATTAAAATATGAGTTACCTTCTTTGTCTTGTTCATTGAAGTCATTTTTAGGAAACTGGATGTCAATAGTGATGATCAGATAACCATGTAGGTTATTGTTTTCATAGTTTGGCATACCTTCACCTTTTTTACGAATTTTTGCTCCAGGCCAGGTTACAGTATTTCGTTCTATAAGAATTTTTCGACCATCTAATTGGGTTAACTCTGTTTGGAAGCCAACTAATGCGTCCTAAAAATAAATTTTTTTTAATATAGGTACAATTAAGAATTACTCAAAACCTAACTCCTACCAATTTTATATATTATACAGTAAAAAAATGACATGTTTACTATGAGCCAAATCAATGTATTTAGTATTAACGTTAGTTGAAATTTGACTAAAATGTTCATTAAATTTATTTTGACATTTTAGATGATGCGTAAGTTTTACACTCAAATAGCAAATTATAAATTTAATAAAAAATGTTTTTACAATTACCTACATTCAAATTTGATTTTATTACATTTTTTAAAATTTTATGATTATTTTTACTACATATTAACTTATAAAGTAGATATAAACACATAATTATAAAAATAATTAATAAATCAGGAAATACATTTCCTTGAAGAATTTTCAAATAATTTTATAAAAATGAATTAATTACCTGTAATGTAATAGTTAGGTTAGTGTATAAATCATCGCCTCGCCTTTCAAAAACTGAATGAGGTGATGTTTTTATTTTAAAAACAAGATCACCTGGTTCTCCATCAATATGTGGCTCTCCTTCTGCTGTAAACTTAGTTTCTTGGCCATCTTTCATACCAGGTTCTATTTCTATTTCTAGCATGCTTTCTTCAGTAACCATTCTAAAAAATATATCAAATAAACATCCTAAGTTAATTTTATTTACAATAAATCATGTTCAATTATAGTATTTTTCAAATTGTCCATAAATCACTTTTAGGTTGTGATAATATAAAAGTCAAGTTTTGGAAACTTAGAGTAGTTTTTAAATTGTTATTTAAAAAAAAAAAAATAAAACCTACTTTACATTGGGACATTCATCACAAACATTTTGTTGCATCATTTGAAACCGACCAGGGCCCAATTGTTTAGTGATCATCTCTTGGCGACAATTACATTGTCTTGTACCATGAGCTGGTTTTATAACCGGTTTGTTTCTTGTTACCTAGACAACCCAAAAATATTTTTAATAAATCAACAAAAATTATATTTTATAAATTAAGAAAATTATTATAAATTTTACCTGCACAAAGTTACCATTGTATAATTCTTCTAAGGAAACATGTAAGTCAAGAACTATAGTTCCACCCTTAGGAATTTCTTTTTGTCCAGGTGATTCATCAAAATGAAAGCCAAAGTCTCCAAAGAAACTGGCAAATGGATCATGTCCCGCAGCCATGCTGTCCTTTTTAACGCACTGTTCACCACACCTATCATAGTCTTTACGCATTCTTTCATCAGATAATACTTCATATGCATTTCGTAACTTTGAAAATTTTTCTGTGGCTTCTGGATCATCCTGGTTTTTATCTGGATGAAGCTGTTTAGCCATTTTTCTAAATGCTGATTTTATATGATTCTGCTTGGCTGAGCGTGGTACATTCAATATATCATAGTAGTCATTTGAACTGTAATCATAATAGATTATGGTAATTTATAATGAGTATCTACATATACATATCCTAATAAACTTCTTTCTTTAAAACATATAGCAGTATCTTTAAATTGACTTGGTTTAGTGTGTGATTAAGGATCACATTTATTTTTAAATTTTTAAATGAAAAAATACTAACTAATGTTTAAAAACAAATTTTTATTATTAGGCATTTTACTAGTTTTATGAACAATACTTAAAAAGTTTAAATAAATTTATTAATACTGTTGAAAATTATTTGTTGTTTTAGTTTGTTCGAATAAAAAGTTAAATTATTAACCATTATTAAATAAAGCTTGTTTAAATATGTATAAGGATGCATTCATTTAATTTGTTAGTAAAGGATGATCTTGTTTTCTCTTCTTTTTATAGTAACTCATGTAAAATATTAATTACCTATTCTAATTGTATTTATTGCTAAACAAGTTTTACCGGAAATTCAGGAAATTATAACGATTCCTAATACAGGGACAAAATTATATCATATCCCAATATATGCTGGTTGTTTTTCCTAATGATCATTATTATTTTAATTATTATTTCATCACCTCATAGGGAGCTCTACCAATACCTAAAGAGAGATACAAAATATAAATTAATTGAACCAGAATGAAATGCACAATTTTTTTAAAATTTAATTAATCCAGATAGCCAATTCGTCAATTTAGTTTTTGCCAGTCATGTCATCACATATCTTTCATATGCTGGTTTACAAGTTTAATCCTGGACCCCTGACTATGATTAAGGGATAGGTAGTGAGATATTGGGTCATATTATAATATCCTGTACCTAAATATACTGTTGAGTTTTATAGAACAGTTGAGGTTGTGAGTGTTCGAAATAACATTTTTGAAGCGACAACATTCTATAATAAGGTATGGAAATGTTGTCAAAGATCAACTAAGTCAGTATTAATCAATTAGTTTTTTAGTCTCATTATTCATGAATAATTTTATGAGTTTATTATAAATGTAAATTTCATAGTGGTAAACGATTATCTTATTATGTTACTTAAAAAGTACTTACTAAAAAAGTTATAATAAAGAACAGAAAATCTATTACATTATCTATTATTTAAGAATATTGTAAAAATATCGGTAAACAGGGTTAAGGCTTTGAAGGAACGTATCTTACTAATCAAAAAACCTCTTGAAATATAAAAAAGGCATTTTATTAATTGTAAAATAAAACAAATAAAAGTTTTTATCGAGGTTTTTATTATTTGTATTGTTTCTACCAATTGATACATAAAGCTTACAAATAAAATAATCCTTTAGAAAAAACGTAGAAAGATCTGCTAAGGACTCAAAATATTTTTGTTCAATAAAGATTCTAAAAATTATCTTTCACCATCCACTGGAGTTATTGGTATGATAATGACATATGTGGGTACCGTAAATACTTTCTTAATGTATTATTTTAAACTTATTATCTTCTTTGCAAGCTCTTAATGTTGTGTACCATGAAAACTTACAAAATTATTTTGATACAATTTTAAATGATAATTTAACATAAAATACCAAAGAAAGAAAAACTAAAACAATGCAAACGCGTTTATATGGTGAAAAGGAAAAGTTAAGTTTGTATCAGTTTATAGGAAATTAAATGAAATACATTAACAAAACGGAAAGTATTATTTTTCTATCTTTTAAATCTAATCCAAACCTTATTTGATACAATTTTGTTTTATTTCTTTATTATTTTTGGTAATTTTAAATAAGAATACAAAATATTAACATTTATGATATTTGGGTTTAAATAAGGTTAGGTATTTGAATAGTATCTTATTTTTTTTATGTACAATAATTTAGATAATCTTTAAGTTATATTTTCAGCATAGTCGTAGACCTGTATTTTATATTATATCCAATTGTAGATCAAATTAACTAGAATACGTGAATAAAACAAAATATGTTTTCTTTTTAAAAATGCATTTCGATAATTGATTTTATTCTGTATTTATTATTTTACAAGATTAATATGTATTTTCATATTATAGTTAACTATAGATTATCCACAGAATAGGGTGGCACGGCAACCACGGATAAATTAATTTCCATATTGGGATCAAAACCTCAACAAAAATGTCCATCGTTCGATTTTAAATATGATAGGATGGGGCATTGTCAATCTGCAATGCAGCTTTCTAGGGTATGTTTTGAGACTTGAGATGTTCTCTATCTTGCAGAAAAACGATTAGTGGAACTGTTAACGATTTCTTATAAATACATATTACACATAGATAATTATGGATGAACGAGATTTTACTATACATATTTTATACATGATACATTTTTATACAGCAGCACTTGTGACTATTATTTTAGTATTTAAGATGTGTTTTACATATAGGTAATACTAATAAACAAAATGATTAAGTTTAAATACACCAATAAGTTCCCACATCATATCACAATATTTGATATAAAAAAAAAAAATACTTATTATGTTTTTTATTCAAAAACATACAAGAAAATAATATGTGAATATAAATGAGTATTATTTTATTCAATGTTCAATTATATTGATAGATTATATCATAATTCATAACTAAGATATGTAGGTATAAAGTATCAAGTACCTACTGTAGGTATTTATTTACTGTAACTATTTAGACCTTTAATTTGTTTTTTAAACTACTAAATATTATATAAAAATGCCTTATTTAAATATTCTTCAGTGTATTTATGCACAGTATACACAGAACCGCATCATAGGCGTTATGCCGCTATTGTTGCGTTATCGCTATACTAATTAAACAAAGTATTTCATGTATTATGTGTACACGTATGTAGGTAAATATACTTACTTGCAAAATGCCAAAATGGAAAACATCAACAAATTGTAAACGACGAATAAAACGTAATTTAAAAACATTGTATTTAATTTATGTATACCTAACAGAAAAACCAATAAGACACGACGGGTTAGATTTACCAGTGACTAGAAATTAAAAATCGTCAAACAGGTATTATTTCCCTAACAAATGAGCGACATAAATTTGATCATACACAAATGCATTTTAAAAAAACTTCACATTTCACATACGATCACTCTCCGCGAAGCGTAAAATGTATCGCTCGTCTTCGACTCGTTTTCAAATAATATACGCGTTGTGTCAACCTCCGGTTGATATTGTAATCAAAAGTAATGTGGGCGATTTTGATTGGCCGGCTGATGTTTTCCCCTCCGGTCCGGCATAATAATATTGTTTATCTTGGCACTACGCACAAACGATATCGTCGGACGTGGAAGAAAAATGATCGAAACCACCTCCAAGCGACCGGCACAGGGAACCGAATGGCCGGAGGAGAGGTTATTAATAATATTAATCTGCCCTGGCCGTGGCTTAAGAATATGATACGTCTTGGAAATCAGAAAATTACACGTAAGTATGCAATCGCAATACTGCACTGGCTTGTCGTCGAGTATCTTTTTTGCAGGTCGTGCACAAGCTTACTGCTCAGGAATATAATACGAATGTTATGAGTGGGTTGTACCTACCTAGTTAGAAATAAGAAAAAATGTTCATTACCTTATTGCGAGTACTTACGGGAAATAATAATTAATAATAGAAAATGTTAATATTCTAAAGAAATCGCAATATCGTTCGTACCAATCACATTTACACACGTGTAGTAAAATTTCGAAGCTCGTGTACGTTCATGATAATATGCACTGCCCGCAGACACGTCTGTCGGCTGTGTACAATATACAGGTACGGGTACCTATAAATTGTATTATAATATAATTATTTACTATTAAGTAATAAGTATCTACTAAGTATATATATAGTACAATATAGGTGCTGTGTAAACAAAATGTATGAAACATACAGAAACACGATTTAGGTAATATACACGACTAAGAATTATTAAAATAGTTATTATCGCCGTTAAAAACATTTAGCCTATTATTTATAGCGTAGGAATATGTCAGTAAGTGTCTTCAAAGGATATAATTTAATACAAGCCGAGATATTTTGAAAATTATATCATTTTTTGTAAAATGTTAGTTTAAATATTTAAAAATAAATCTGAGTTTAGGTATAGGTATCCATTTTTGAATAACAACAAAAGAACGAATTTAATTTTTTGAAAACGGCGGGTGTTTCATAAATATTTTCATTTTCCGGTTTTTTCGTTAATTTTTCGAATTATTATTAAAATATGCTGAGCATTTTCAACTTTCGACTTCCCAAATTATCAACTGGACTCCGTTTTCTACCTGGAACCACCCTCAAAGTTGATGATTGAAACATTTTTACTGTTCCAAAACATGGTGGTACAAAAAAAAAAATACCAATTTCAGAATCTAATATACTAACTAATTCATATACTCAATAGTCTAATACTGTAATGGTACATCGACACATCGTACACATCTATGTATTGAAGTACCTAATGAAACTGAATATCATAATCACGAGTGATGAGAACAGTCCCTTCTGTTGGAATTCAGTTTATTTCTCGCATCTTTTATTCAATCTTTCAATCTTATATTTTTTTAAGCTCGTGAATTATGATATATCATATACATTTTAATGAAATGATAAACAACCAATGTCCAACGAGTACTTAAATAGGTCATTGCCAACTGGCGTATAATAGCTAGGAATAGATTATAGAATCAGAATACTATTATTATTATACTATTATACAATCATAATTTTGTCATTCGTAGGTACCTATATTATCGTTTTTAATGTGTATCACTGAAAAAAAAACTCGTTGTAGGAACCAAAATATAGAAGTGGTAACTGTGAAATTTAGTTGCCTCAGTGACAACATTACGTTCAGTTAACTGTGCCGTACGCAGCGGCAGGGTTCTAGGGTTCTGACCCCCTTGAAATTTATTTTTTCTACAAAAAAATCTTATTTACCACCAATTTGATACACACATATCATGGTCATTTTTTATTGATATAAAATAAATTGTTTAATATAACAAAGACGTCGTGGTTTCAGTTTTTTTTTTAGCTGATTTAGAAAATTGCTAAAGTCTGCCATAATCGATGGTGTATCATCGCCCATCGATTATTACCAAGTTTATTACGGCCCGAGGTGACCAAATTTTAGACTATACTCTGTTTCAAAAGAGAATTGTCACTTTTCGCGCAAACAACTGACGGCTGCTGCAGTGCAAAGGCCAAAATTCCCCTCCCCTTTCTAGCTGGCAATCGTCAACGTCTTCCAGAAACGTCTGCTAACAAGGTGGGGGATGTTGGGCCTTTGCACTGCCGTAGCCGTAAGTTGTATGCTCGAAAAGTGACCGTTCTCTTTTGGAACAGAGTATAACTATAAGCTGTTATATAAAAACTGTTTAGAAACAAATAATGTTTATTATTTACTCAGGTAAAACCCTAACCGAACTAAAATCCTGCGTACTCTACTGTCAGTTAAGTATAAAAATTGATTTTTGTTGATTATTTATTGTTGGAGGAACAATTTATATATTAAGCAATTGTAACTGAATAAATTTGATTACATGTACAAAATAATTACTATTAGTAATATAATTGAATATTTAGTATGACACACACTGTTTTCCTTCACCAATCAATTTGTGATTATTACAATTTACATAAGTTCCTCATACTATATTTTTTGTAATAAATTAACTGAACAATTGGTTTTGTTATAAATAGTTTTGTATTATTAACTAAAGCCCCAGTGTTAATCTCCAACACTTACTGTAAATACCAAACATTTTGTTAAAAATAACATTCTGTTGTATGTGCATAATGAAATGTAATAATACAATACCTACAACTTTAGTTATGTACAACAAAACAACAATGAACAAAAACGAAATTGTTTCTATAACAAATTAATTAGTGAAATAAATTAATACGTCGATAGAACCAACGATTTTATGTTTGGGCCTACACTTTGTAATCTTATAAAATCATTTTGTAATTTGTAAAGTAATATTTTTTCAGTGTAACTTGACTCTTTGTGTAATTTGGGGTAATATTTTTAAGTACGAAAGGCAAACGGTTCCTAGGTAATACTTTATTATTAAAATGAAAAATTAAATAAACAAAATAAACTTCTATACCTACGACTTACGGGAGTAACCGAATTGGTTCCCGTTTGGCCGAATTGGTTCCCGTCTGAAAAAGGTATTTCATTAAGTTGAGCCGAATTGGTTCCCGTTCAAAAAAGGTATTTTATTAGGTTGAGCCGAATTGGTTCCCGTTTGTGTACAGGTAATTTTTAATTTTTAATAATTGGTACAAAATATAAATTAGACAGTATAAAATATAAATGTACCTACATGACTATACTCTATAATATATAGTATAATATACAATAAGATGGCTATATATTTATATATTGGAAGTTTAGCAAATTATCGGTGATTTCCCGATCAATTAAGATAACGATTGAGATATATGTACTTTTATCGGTGAATGGTACATCGTCTATATCGTATGTACGAATGACAATAATGTTGGTGAGCAGTGAGCACTGTACACAGTGTACAGCCTCGAATAACACATCGTGTAAATTTTTAATTTATATTTCGTATTTGAATTTATATTTTTTAATTTTAATTTTTCGTAATTATGGAGTTTATGTTTAGTGAAAAGGGAACTAAGTTGTTGATTATTGACAATTACAAGTTTGGATTCCAAAAGAACCTAGCAGATAACATACAGAGGTGGATATGTACAAAACGAAAATGTAAAGCTTACGTTAAATTGAACGGAGATTGTTTATGTGAAGAGGTATTAACACATAACTACGAAAGTGAAGACGATGGTACACTTGCGCGACAACAATTGACAAATTCACTAAAAAGAAAATGTGACGAACTTATTACAGAGCGACCATCTAAAATTATACGCAAAGAGATAGCTTCAAACAGTCATAGTGAGTCACTACTTCAAAATGATATTAACAGAGTCCGTAAAAATTTGAATGCTGCTAAATTAAGAACAATTCCCAAGTTACCTTATAATCTTGAAGAACTGCATAAAAGTGTCAGTGAATATTCGTTAATAACTAATCTCGGAGAAAAATTTATTTATGACAACGATTCTGTCAACAATATAATTACATTTACATGCACGCAGAACTTGGAACAACTCAAGAAAGCCACTACGTTATTTGTCGATGAAACATTCAAAAGTTGTCCTAAGCAATTTTACCAATTATTTTCTATTTTTATCAAAGTACAGAATAGCTATGTTCCTGTCGTATTCAGCCTACTCCCGAACAAGACTACTGACACTTACATACTTGCATTCAATAAGGTTGCAAAATATCTAACAGCTGGCACGGTTTTCGTTGATTTTGAAACAGCTATCCATAATGCTATAACTTCACAGCTACATCAAGTTACAGTTAGAGGTTGCAGATTCCATTTATGTCAGTCATGGTGGAGAAAAATTCAACAGTTGGGTCTCTCTAATGAATTTAAAGATAATGCTTCAGAAATCGGACAACTTCTGAAACTCTTTTTTGGACTGCCCTTATTATCACCCGAAGACGTCGAAGACTGTTTTTATAATGATTTGATGGCCATAAAACCTTGCTGCCCAAAATTGGATCAGTTCTTTGACTACGTTCATGATACATACATAATGACAGATAGTATCTTTCCACCGAAAATTTGGGCTAGATTTGACAAAAATATTGATAGAACTACAAATTGTTGCGAATCGTTCCATTCAAAGCTGAATAAAGAATTTACAAGTGCCCATCCTAATATATTTTATTTTATGGAGACTTTAAACAGTATTCAGACATTAAATTATATTAAATTTCGAAGTAATAATACTAGAAAACTTACTAGCAAACAAGAAAAAAATAACAAATTCTTGGAAAATTGTATGACTGAGTACACCAATGGGAAGCTTACGCGAATTG